GCCTCCACAACAGATTGAGAAGAACCTCAGCGACCTCATCGACCTGGTCAGTGTGTGTGTGTGTCACTGTGAGTGTGTGTCAGTGAGAGAGTGTGTTTGCGTATGAGAGCGTGTGTGTGTGTGTGTGTGTGTCTGTCTGTCTGTCTATCTGTGTGTAGTAGAGTGTGTGTGTGAACTGTGAAGGCGTAACTGGGTGTGTGACTGTATGTGTGTGTGTGTGTGTGTGTGAGAGAGAGAGAGCAACAGCTTATCTGAGAGTGTGTTTATGAGAGAAACTGTGTGTGAAAGAGTGTATGTGAGTGTGTGTGTGTAAGTTGTTATCAGTTATTAGCGTGTGTGTCCGTCACGCAGCAGGACTGAGCAGCGGTCAGATGGTTCTCATGGATTTTGACCTTCACACGGGTTACAGGAGGAAGTGTGTGTGTGTGATGGTTCAATATTGAGTGTCTGACAAACTCGTGCAGGAATTCACTTCCTGTGTGTGTGTGTGTGTGTGTGTGTGTGTGTGTGTGTGTGTGTGTGTGTGTGTGTGTGTGGTCTGTGTGTGTGTGTGTGTCTGTGTGTGTGTGTGTATGTGTGTGTGTGTGTGTGTGTGTGTGTGTGTTGTTGTCAGATTCTGCTGGTGTTCTCATGTTCATCTTCAGAGTGTGTGTGTTTGTGTCCTCCTCATGTGTGTGTGGATTATGCTGAGGTGAGTGTGACGGATTGTGTGTGTGTGTGTGTGTGTGTGTGTGTGTGTGTGTAGGTGTCAGATTCTGCTGGTGTTTTCTTGTTCATCTTCAGAGTGTGTGTGTCTCCTCCTGATGTTGTGTGGATTATGCTGAGGTGAGTGTGACGGATAGTGTGTGTGTGTGTGTGTGATTAGAGAAGGAGACGGCGAGTGTTTTCTTCATCCTGCTCAGTGTTTCCTCTAATTACCAGCAGCATCTGGATCTCAGAGCGCTCGGAGCCGCTCGCTGGAGCTTTACTGCGCGTCTGAAGCGTGTGTCTGTGTGTGTGTGTGTGTGTGTGTGTGTGTGTGTACTACTGAAGATGGAGGACAGATGGAATTCATTAATTCAGAATTTGCAAATGAAGCTGCATGAAAGTTGCTGCCAATTATTTCCACTCAGAGACTTTCACTGTCACGCTCGTCTGAGGAGACGCAGTAAACACACACATATACACACACACAGAGAGAGAGATTACACACACAAACACACACAGAGAGAGATTACACACTCACACCCACCACACAGAGAGTGAGAGAGAGAGATTACACACACACACAGAGAGAGAGAGAGAGAGAGAGAGATTACACACACACACACATTACATACACATATACACACACTCACTCAAATACAAAAATACACACATACACATTATACAGACACACACACACTGAGACTAACACTCAAGACACAAACTTACACATGCACACACAGAGTACAGTAGTGTCAACACAACCTAAAACCAACCAAATATCAACGTGTACTGATGCTACAGCTCAGCGTGGTGTGGACGTCACCACTGTACGTCTATCAGTGTCCTAACCTGATGAATAAACCTCAGTGTGTGACGTCAGTGTGGCGCTGGGTTAAGATGTTGGCTTCATGTTGGATTCTGGTCCGTTTCCAACACAACCTAACATCAACCAAATATCAACGTCATTTCACAGCATTACTGGACAAAACAACATCATCCTGACACACCGACCACCTGAACCTGACCTCCTGCTGACCTCTCATGACCATGTGTGTCTGCTGGGGAATCACTGATGTGTTCCTCTTCTCCATGATGACAGCACATCATATTAGACTAGATCTTCTTCAAGACACTAGTGTTCAGCTTACAGTGACATGTAAAGGCTTCACTAGGGTAATCAGGGTAAAGTTAGGGTAATTAGGCAAGTCATTGTATAACAGTGGTTTGTTCTGG